CGCCTCCTGGGTTCAGGCAATTCTCCTGCCACAGCCTCCTGAGTAGCTGGGATTACAGGCACGCACCACCATGCCCAGCTAATTTTTTGTATTTTTAGTAGAGACGGGGTTTCACCATGTTGACCAGGATGGTCTCGATCTCTTGACCTTGTGATCCATCCACCTCGGCCTCCCAAAGTGCTGGGATTACAGGCGTGAGCCACCGCGCCCGGCTTATACTAACTTTTAATTGCACATAGATTAAGGGTTGTTTTATCTGAACATTTCTAGGGAAAGAATAACAACTTTTGGATCATCAAGTTGTTGTCATGGAAAGGGCCGGTAATTCCTGGGTGTTGCCATGGGAGTGGCAGGTAACCTGGCATGGCACACTGGTGGGCCTGACATGGAAAGCTGCTTCTGCCTCAGCCCCGTTTAAGCCAGTCCTCAGTCTGAATCCTCACTTCTGGAGTCGAGTCCCCCGCCTACCTTATCATCACGTGTGGACACAGCCAGAATGTGCCATCATCAGGAAACAGGCCGCCACCAGACCCTGGATCTGCCCATGCCTTGATCTTGGACTTCAAATCTCCAGAGCTGGAAGAAATAGATTTCTGTTATTTATTAGCCACCCTGTCTACGGCATTTTGCTATAGCAACCTAAAGTGAATAAGATATCTAATACATGATTAAATTAATCCATGGCTGAAGAATAACTGAATTCCTAGTCATTTCAAAGACATATCTTCCAATCCTATAAGTACAGTTCAATTATGTTGTTTTTCTTTATGGCCTTATTTATTTCTGCCTCTTGCTTGATAAGGCAATAGAGGGTGGACCTCTGAAGTCAAACTGCATGACAAGTAACTGCCTCTGGGGTGCTGTTCTGCTAACAGGCCAAGCCTTCCACCTTGATACACTCATTGAAAATTTCATATTTTGCCCAGCGAGTTCCTTGTCGCTTACTGCTTGAAGTTACCAGCTTAGCTGGCATCTTCTGGGCTGGGCTCCCCAGGCTGACCCTCCCACTTCCACCCTCACCTGGCTTCCAATGGGACTCGCTCCTGCCTCAATACGCCTTCCCTGTTCCGCAGGCCAAAACAATTTTTAAAATAAAAATAAATAAAAAAGGAAATCTCATATTTTTATTATAAAGCATAAACGTATAATGAAGAGTGCAAAATTCACAACATTTAAAAAATGCTCAAGGAATTAAAAGGATTTGTTATTTTCTAGCTAGCTGTTTTAAGCCTGACTCTCCATATTACTCTCTCTCTTTTTTTGAGACAGAGTCTTGCTTTGTTTCCCACGTTGGAGTG